AATTTATCATAAATATGAGACATAATTTATCAAAAATATGAGACATAATTTATCAAAAATATGAGACATAATTTATCAAAAATGTGAGACATAATTTATCAAAAATATGAGACATAAATTATCAAAAATATGAGACATAATTCATATGTAGAATATGAGACATAATTCATAATATGTAGAATATGAGATATAATTCATATGTAGAATATGAGATATAATTCATTGTAGAATTGGAAATATAATTTATTGAAGAAATAATTCATTGAAGAATTTGAGACATAATTCATGATATGTAGAATTTGAGATATAATTCATATGTAGGATTTGAGATATAATTCATTGTAGAATTGGAAATATAATTCATGGAAGAAATAATTCATTGAAGAATTTGAGATATAATTCATTGTAAATATGAGATATAATACATCAAACATACGAGATATAATCATAATATATGAGATATAATTCATGGTGGAATTGGGGATATAATTCATAATAGAATTTGAGATATAATTCTTTTGTACAAAAAAATCTTGTACTGGAACATTGACACAACACGAGAAAATAATATTTGAGCATTATTGTTGATTTTGTTTGGTGACATATGAAAAAAATATAGATGAAAGTTCTGTAAATTTTGACTGTTTGACGTGATAATAAGTGACCACTTTTAATCAATTGACTTAATGTAAACATATCTAGAATTTGAGACTTGTTAATTATCTAGTTGACACATTAGATAAATGTATTCTATGGCCTATATTATTGATTCTTTAGGCCACTCTTCCACGGCTTCAACGATTAATGTTTAACATCTTACGTGACATGTGGCAGATATCGAATTACTTTGAATATGCCGAACTTCAATTAGAACCAAAAGTGGACACAAAACCTTTAAGTGTACTAACGAAAAGCAAAAGAGGGAAACAATCATTTTTACAAGGATAACACTTTAGGTTCACAAGGACATTTTCTGCCAGTGGTTCAGTGACAAACCCCTTGGCATTGATCTCACCCAGATTATCCTTACTCACTCATTTACAGTTGGGCTGACTTGAATAATGATCAAAGATTATTTTAACTCGCTGACCAGTAATTTGAGCTGACCTGAATAATCTACTATCGTTAAGTTAACGTAAAACTCCATTCAGTTTCATCTGAGTTAAGGACCAGATTAAAGCGAGGGGTTCGCCATTCGTTTAACCAGTGGTCTCAAAACGAGAATTTATTTAGCTAAGCCAATCAGAGACAGAGACTACAACTGGTCGTCGAAACTTGAGGCCTCAAATCTATATATGTCCAGAATTATCCGCCTTTGAAAGTTAAAATGACGACTCGTCTTTAATTGACATATACAGGAAAAAAAGTGAAATTTCTGGTTTGAAGTAAATTTGAAGAGATTATGCGATTTTCGTGTACTTCCAGTACTTCTAAAGACTATTTACGTATAAGTAAGGCTCAACCCCACGAAAATGGCGAATAAAGGTCTTTAAGACTCGGGATATGTGTAGAGTAGTCTGGCATTGAGTGAAATGACAGATTATAAATATGGACAATCAATACTATAACTAGTATTTACATGGTAATTGGAGTTTATAATTACCCACTGCGGGCTACCAGTATTAGTTGTATGTTTAGTAAATAAGCCGAGATATGTGTTTTTGTCTTGTTTCCACCAGGGATTGTGAAGAGATTTTCTAAACTGTTTATGTGAATTGGAGACACTGATAGCATCAATTTACACCATTCAAATTTTCATCCAGGCGCCTGCGGTTCCTGCGATTCCACTAAATCTAAGTGCTTATAGGCCCTTGTGTGATACAAGCATATTTTGCGATTAGTGACGTCATCAAACACATATTTTTTGTTGTTGTGAAATTGCAGGAACCACAGTCGGCTGACTGAAAATTGAAATGGTGCAAATTGATGTTAACAGTGTCCCCGATACACATAGAAAATTAAGAAAACCTCTTTACAATGCCTTTAAGTCACCATTTTAGGTTTTCGGATTAACATGATGTATGAATTTATGGATTTCTATAATAAATTAAAATATAAGATATTGTTTACTGATGAAAACATTGATTACATGCCAACAGAATAATGTACTTACATATCATTGAGACACTAAACTGAAAACTATTGTACCTTAGTTCTATTGGGCTGAATGTTAGACAAGACCATATCACCTTCCATGTCTCTTTAGCAACGGTACGATGATTATTCACATCTAACCATTGCTTGAAGAATCCCATATTCTCGTCATTAGAGACAAATAACCTCCATTGGCAGACCATGCTGTACCATTCGATATATCCAATCAGGAATCTCGTAATATTTGGAGTAAATGACTTCATTAACAATCATTTTTGTTTCACAGAATGAGGCGATTAGATTGGATTATACACCAACAAATATGGCCAATCATAGCGTTTATGGCTTATTTCTGTCGCGGAACCTGATTGGCTGTGTTCGCTAACGTAAAATCCAACCAAATCGATGCATTTACAAACTTCCGTGATACAGCCAGTCAACGCCCTCGACATACTGTTAACAATATGGCTTAGTGTTTACAGTTTTCTATTGAAGCCTCGGATTGGCTGTATTTGCTAACGCACAATCCAATCAAATGCAAGATAGGTAGTCAAGTCAGATAGTAGCTTAGATTGTCCCATCTATACGACTAGACGCTTTTTCATGAACATAGCACAAGCGTTACAGATTCTCGACAGACGGAAAAGAATAAAGTATGCATATGTCGCTTTCCTAGAAAAATTTCACAAATTGCCCACTGCATGGAGTGGAACGTAAAACTCTATTTCAATTCATTTCTATTGATCAAAACCATAATTGCTAATCATGCCAATAAGATATTTCCATGCAGATCATTGATTTCAGGTTATCATTAAAAAAATATAAACCTGTTTTATTATTTAAAAATCAATAAAACATTTTCTTATAAAAATAATAATCCTTCCTCTTTAGCCTACATAAGTGCAATTACCCGTACAAAATGTCCTACAAAATTTCTACATATGCAAATTTTTAAAGATCGATTTAACGTCCGATAATAGACTAGTTTGTGCAAAAAATTTACCCCAGATGAATTAAACAGAAAAAGATTGGGTGGTTTATTATTTCATCTAATTTCAGAACATATATGAGTTTTACGTCATACTTTTCAGAATGTCAGACCAGAGGAAAATATTCAGCGTGTGCTGACCGTTCATTCCGTTTTCTTTTTGAAAGTATTTTCCAGCCTAGGCCTGTATATTTGGGAGAATCAAACCTACCATATCGCAAAACCAAATTACTACCTTATGATCGAGACACTGGATGTTCAAGACTATGACAGTTTTAAAACGAGGTGCATGGTCATTACTGAGTGGTTCACTCGTAGCACTTGACAAAACTTGCGTCGAACCTTATCTTTCACACAATTTTACAGCTAAGAGGTACTTTTTGGCTATTTTGGCTAATATCTCAAAAAGTGAAAATTTTTGAACCAAACATTTTGTAGTGTGAACAGAAGATAACAATCCAAATACGTCATAACAATGTCGCTTCCCAAATCGACAATTTTTCGGCCAAAATTGTTGATTTTTTGCGAGTTGGATACAAGTAATTCAAGCTGAGTACAGAGTTATCCGCATATGAAAGTTAAAAAGACGACTCTTCATTTCTTGAGACTCCGCCATATATAGAAAAGACATGTATAAATAAAAAGAAAGCGAAATTTATAGGGTGAGGTATATATGAAGGGATTTGCAATTTTCGTGCATTTCAAGTACTTATCAGCCAATCAGACACCTCGACAGAATGTCTGTAAACAATAAGCCATACTGTTAACAGTCTATCTGTCGAGGGCTCTGATTGGCATTTGTAAATGCAGCGATTGGATTGCATTCTACGTTAGAAATTACATCCAATCAGCCCTCGACAGAATGTCTGTAAGCAATAAGACATAATGTTAGCAGTCAGGCTGTCTAGGGCTGATTGGATGTATTCGCTGGCGTACAATCCAATCTAATGGCTGCATTCCGTGATACAAGACAGGTTGATATTGCAGTCAAGGTATAAGACGTAGTTCGTTATAGCTTGCCATTATGTAGATGATACATGAACTGGTGACACTACATTTTTAAATATCTAAGACTTCGACTTAGTAACGATGATACTCACTCGTCATATGACAAATGAAGAGATAACTTGAGTGATTTATTTTAAAGGGACAAAACTTAGAATTGTCCTTATCGGTCCGCCTACATTTTGTTGCGTTACTGCATTACATTACGGGGCGATAATTTGACGTTATTGGTAACGTCAACGGTGGCCGTAGATGTATTCAATGTCATACTGTTGAAAATTTGAAATTATTGGATTCTAGTATCTACGAGGCTATTCTTGTAGTGGGCTGATCTGATTCCACTTGACAAATCCTTTTCAAAAACCGACCGCTGTGCTATTCTCTGTCTGATACATGTTCACTGTTCATGTTGTTGGCGACCAACCAATCTTGAAAGCCTCAGAGAAAAATCCTTAAACTCTTCCATGTCGCATCTTTAAAAAATTGTTTCAGAAAAGTCAATCCCACAGCTACCCTTCTTTTGTTTATGTTTTGTATACGTAGTTGTGCAATACTCCCGATATTTAACGAACTTCGAGAACGTCAAGTGTCCATAGGTTTGAATCCTCTCCGCACAAAACATGTATCGAATGTAAGTAATATTCTATGTTTAAACTTTCACCACATTAAAATAATATGGAGATTGTGCCCGATGGCTTTTCATTACCTTGCTGAACGGAGCTTTAGGTTCGGGTTCCATTTAGTTTGATTACGGAAATACCTAGGTTTGACTTTTATGAAGAAACTAAGTTAATTCTTCCATGGTTGATTCACACGCCACTGGGAAAGGTGTATTACTTGGTTCAGAAAGGTATATTACTGAGTTGATGTTTCTTGTATTCTTGATGTAGAAAAGTTTCATTCAATACGTCGAATGTTATACTTCAGATTGCTATGCTTAGTAATCCTATTAACTGCCGGTGCCATACCACCACCACCAGAGCAACCTTCAGATCCTGTTCTTCAGAAGAGTCAACCCACAGAACCATTCACTAACTATGATGTTCTAGATTCTAACGGTGTCTTCGAGTTATTCTGGAAGTATAACAATACCCACATCACATTTGAATCTCACGTCAAGACTCTAGGTTATGTTGGTTTTGGACTTTCACCTCATGGTCAGATGTTCCCAGCTGATGTCGTTATTGGTTGGGTGAAGGATGGAGCTGTCCACTTTAAGGTAAGGTTCTCTTGATTTATTCTACAAGTCATACCATATGCCCACCAGCCAAATTGTTTCAGTCAGGAAACGTGTGTTTATTTGTATCCAATCGGATGGTATCAGATTGGGGACGGTTCACAGTTTTTTTGCTGTCCATATTGCCCACTTGTTACATGTCTGTAAGCAGTCGCTAATGAAGTGGCACTTAGGTTGCAATGGATTGAATTTTTTGTCGAATTTGGTAACAGCCTATGCATTGCGCTGAGGAATAAGATAATGCTTATGATGATATTGATGACAATGATGATGATATTGATGACAATGATGATGATATTGATGACAATGATGATGATACTGATGTTGATGTTGATGGTTCGACCTTTTAAGGGATTATAATTTAGTTCGAGTCTTAATCAACGATTAGTTTCATTATCAAATATAGTCCATCTTTTGCTTCTATTTTAGGATCGTCATTCGATCGGTCATTATGAACCAATAATCGACAAGTCACAAGATTGGATTTTACTCTCTGGTAAAGAAGAGAACGGCAAGACTGTTTTGAAATTTGTGAGAAAATTGAGAAGCTGTGATAAGGACGATCGCAATATTGAGGTAAACTCGCGTTTGAATTGGACGTTAATCAAATGTCTTTGAAGTTAATGCCCTGTTCCCTTTGTCAGTGATGCAGGTCGGAGGTGCTGTCTTGTCGTTTTGAAGGAGCAATAAAACGAGACCGCTGTGCTATATAGGTATTAGACAAAAAGTAGGTTAATGCCACTGGACTGAAATAATTTACCCCATTGCACACTACATGGCGTTACCCGCTTCATTAACTCCAACAGAAACAGAATAGTAAAACTCCATTCGGTTCATTTTTTCATAACATGCCTGATTCTGAAGATTGATTTAAAATGGGTTTTCCGAACGTAAAATAACAAATGAATCTTGATCGATATTTGTGTTGTTTTCTATGTCGAAAATAAGATCAGATTTTTAAATTCCGTTTGTGGTTTTCAGGAAGGTACCACTAAAGTCATATTTTCGTGGCATCCTGAAGATCCTCAGCATGAAACAGGTCTACCTTTCCATGGTGATAGTAATAAAGGTTCCAAGAGTCTGTTATTATTGAGTCCTGCTCAAAACCAACATTTACCAAAGGATGCTATACATTTTGATTTCGTCAACAAAAAGGTAACCAACTATTTAGATCTGCTTTCAATCTGCTAGCTCCAAGCTCGTATACCGATTTTCCGTTGCAATGTCTTTGATGGTCGATTTTAGCGAGAAAGGAATGCTCATTTTTCGGCAGACCTGATTCGAATCTGATACTCCTAAATTTTCGCATCTGTGATGTGCATTTCTATTTGTGTAGGGGAGTGTTTACGGTCCTTATCGATTCACACGATAGAAAATACCACTCAAGGTATAAGGCCAAACTGCCCGGAAGCTGTTATATTACAATATATTGACGAACCTCAAGATCTCCGTGGAAGTACTCGTTAAATAATGTTGCCATTTTCCTTTGATATTTTTAGACTCATCTGCCAGTGCAGGACACCTACTATCACTGTACATCATACAGAGTACCCAAACTAGACAAGAAACACCATATGGTTATGGTAAGTCCGAATGCAGTTGACTTTCTATGTGCTTCGCCTGAAGATGTGGAAGATGCAACCCTGTCTGTGTTGCTACTCTATAGAAAGAAACAATCATTTTTTTCACGCAGCCTGATCGTGACCAAACTTATTGGCATTGGTCTTTCCCGGATTATCCGTAGTGAGAAAAGGCCACCAGATTTTCACACACCGACCGCAATTAGAACCCACTATTACCTGCTCTTCGACGTTAACAAGGATCTGACGCTATATAAAAATCCCATCGCTCTAACCACTAACCAACTGTGCTGAAGCCTAAGCTTTATAAACAAAGCAAATGGCTTTCTGAAAACCACCATGAACTGAACTCTAGGACCAATGTTATCAAGTCAATCCTCTATATCTTTCAGTTTGAACCAATAATAGAAAAGGTCAACTTAGAGTATGTTCACCATATTATAGTCTACAAGTGTCCAGCTCATGTCAACTATACCGACTCAATGATCGGCCAACAGTATGAATGTTATGAACATGAAGATCGTCATCCAATGGAACTCAGGAACTGTATGACTACTTCCTTCTTAGCCTGGGCCGTCGGTGGAGGGGTAAGCTAACTTTTCTTTTTTCACCAAATTTCTTGGTATCAATGGAACTCATGAACTGTATGACTGCCTCATTCGTAGTTCGAACTTCCCACGAATGGGTAAGTTCTACCACCTTGGATCCAAACCTTTCGAACTCCTCGTAATTCTGACTTTCATTGCTGACCAAGTATACCTTCTACTTTCTTAAGCAACAATACTTATGAATACAAGATGAAAGCTTTCCTATGGACCTCGACCTATGTCATACTGTTTTTCCAAATATGTATAGAAGATACTCGAGTTTCCCCGCTTGTATTCCTTGGTAACCCCCCCCCCCCCATTTTCCAGTAGGTTGGGATCCAAGGCTCTATCCCGACAACGCTATTACCGGCTGTAAGCGTTGTTCCATCTTTATCCCTATCTATCTATCTGAGTGTCATCTTTGTGATTCTGATTAGTTCTTAACATCTTCCTTTCCTTCCAGCCAATGTATATACCAGAGAAAGTTGGATTCCCATTAGGTGATGACGATGATAGTGGTGTATTTGTTCTGGAGACTCATTACAACAATCCAACTTTAAAATCCGGTATTTTCATAGTCTATCATTTGTTTTTTTATGGACTGATTTTCATTTAGATATGTTATCATTAAAAATAGATTGTATTCTATTATTTATTTTGCTTATACCACTTACATCAAATAATAGGACATTTAGCCCATTTTCGATTATTTATGGATTTTGTAGCGGAGAAAATTTTAAGAAGCCTCATCCTTCAGACAATGCATGCATGGAAAATCGCCTACGTGTTAAGATGAGGGGAACATCCGAGGTGTCCTATAGGCTGAGCACGCCAAAGACAATTGAATATCAAAATGGGTAGTATTCTACTGCTGTCCTCGACAATCTATCTCTGTACTCATTGTATTGTGTTTCATTAGATGTTTAAGATCCATAAAAGTAGGACGTAAAACTCTGTGTATTTCTTGTCCATTTCAATTTCAGATGTGATAAATAGCTCTGGATTTGGGACCGATGGACAGTCCCTACCACTGTTCTGACAATTCTCCTGTTGTTCTTTGCATTGTGTTTTCATCACCAGAGGAGAAACAGATGTAAAAGATTTGGACATAAAACTCCATTTCATTTCAATTTCAGATGTGATAGATAGCTCTGGATTAAGGATGCACTATACACCAACATTGAGACATTACGACGGTGATATGCTGTACACAGGACTGCTGGTTGATGGTTTACAAATCATACCACCAGGTTACAAAAAGTTCTCTTCTACTGGATTCTGTAGTTCAGACTGTACCAATAGGGTAAGAAATCGTGTTTCCTGTGGTCGACTTCTTCAGCTATTCGTGATCATGAAATTCGCCATGTGCCTTGAGTTCTAGGTCACCGAAATATTCAACCATTCAGATGCTCTGTTCAATAAAAAAAAGAGTAAACTTTAATGGTGTTTTTGTTGGTAGGCATGAATTATATGAGAATCCGGTAAAAATTGAAAATGAACACTATTTAACTAGTCGCTAGTTTATCTCTGTAGATTCTTCAACTGTTGGAAGTCGAAAAAGAGTAGGCTTGTGTCGAGGTCCAGGCAAAATTGCCCTCATTGTAAAATGCATGGCGTTGCTAATCTTCATTAGCCCTAAGAGTAAAAAGAATGCCCTAAAATGTCATTTCATGCCATGAGTTCAATTCATTTCATTTCAGAAACTCAGTCCTGATGGAATCAACGTCTTCGGAGTCTTCCCCCACTCGCATCTGTTGGGACATGCTGTTAGAACTAGGATCATTCGTCAAGGTGAAGAAACAGTCATATCTGATGATGATAATTATGATTTCGACTACCAAGAAACCAGACTTATCAACAAGGAAATCAAAATCATGCCCGTGAGTTCTTTAATGTTGATGCATAAAAAGGGTTGGTTTTCCACTGTCAGTGATGCATGTCGGCTTGGAAATTATGTCTGTAATTTTGATACGGTGACTCACCTAGACACTTAACTCGATAACCCTGAGCAAGCTAATGATGCAGTCTTGATAAACATTGCCTGGTGTTGTCCCTTTTAATATTCCAATCTGACACAGAAAAGTAGGACGTAAAACTCCATTTCAGTTCTTTTATTGCATGTTGTATAGCAAAACGCAAGAGAGAAAAGTGGTATACATGTATAAACTCAATGTATTTCGCATAGTTTCTTCATTGCCTTTCAGGGAGATACCATTAAGACACAATGTATTTATAAATCAGATGATATAGACCGTATGACTTTTGTAAGTAAACTATCGTTTTGTTACATTTTCTAAAATTCTGTTCAGCAAATGCTAGGTAAGCAAAACTTGGTGATAGAACACCCAACCTATGGCTCTAATAGATGAGTGTTGGCCCGTGGACATAGGTTAGTTGGGGTCTCCTCCTCCTCCACCCCCTGGAATATTTTTCAGTATAAGCTAGTTTAATACCTATTAATGGAAGATTTAGGGGATTGCTGTCTGTAGTTAATCCTATTACACTCATTTTGTTTTTTGTTTCTGGGGGTTTTGGTCCGTTAACTTGGTTCAATCAGTCGGTATAGTAGTTGAGCCACTGTAGACTTGACCATGGAAGGACACTTAGTCCTCCTATTGTACCAATCTTTGATATACAGAAGCGTTCTGGGTTGATATATTACTTACCGGAGTATTGGCAAGTTGTTCATCAATTGCTTACTTACATCATTTGTTTCTTTTCAGGGAGGTTTGTCAACGCGAGAAGAAATGTGTATCGGATTTTTGATGTATTATCCTAAAGTAGAAATGGGAATTTGTGCCAGTTTACCACAATACAACCAATACATTGATATACACACACATCATAAAGACATGCAGCTCTACGAGTTATTGAAAGGCCGGGACTGGAAAAACGAAACAATAAGAAACGACTTCCAGAAAATCACCGACGAATCACAGCACTACATGGTGTGTGGAAGTCATGCGGGATACCAGAAGGTTTGTACAGTGAGTTCTGAAAGCTATGCTTGAAAAAAAACTGATGTCTTCCTCGGGCAAGGGGCTGGTCCAAACCCCTCCAAACCTCCCTCAAACTTTCAAATTTTGTTATATATGCCCCCCCCCCCCTGGAAAATTTTGTGGCCCCTGCTCGGCCACCTCACATGGGTGTTTCCCAGAAACGCCACTGGTTGTAATCTTTATTACCTGATGCAGGAAACTTAAAACATCCATTCATTTGATTTTTTCAGTATACAAGTGTTCTAAAAACAGCTCCAACAATAACCAAGAAATATGAAAAAATGAACATGTGTGATCAAACCAAGATCACCATTGGTTGAAGATTACAACTGGTAGCCATTTTATTTTATAAGATTTTGTATTTTATGTTTTTATCTAATAAACTTTGCTATCAAATATTAACAACGGTATATGGCACGGCACATAGTTTTACTATATACGGTATGTCACATAAATAGCACCATCTGTATATGTCTGGAATTATTGTATGTATCCCCAACATCAACTGGTTGCATTAACACTATATGTGTCTGGAATTATTGCATGTATCCCTCACATTAACTGGTTACATTAACACTAACTGTGTCTGGAATTACTGCATGTATCCCTCACATTAACTGGTTGCATTAACACTAACTGTATCTGGAATTACTGAATGTATCCCTCACATTAACTGTTGGCATTAACACTAACTGTGTCTGGAATTACTGCATGTATCCCTCACATTAACTGGTCACATTAACACTAACTGTGTCTGGAATTACTGCATGTATCCCTCACATTAACTGGTTGAAATAACATTATATATGTCTGGAATTATTGCATGTATCCCTCACATTAACTGGTTGCAATTACACTATCTGTGTCTGGAATTATTAAATGTATCCCCCACATCAGCTGGTCGCAGTAACACTATCTGTGTCTGAAATTATTAAATTAACTGGATGCAATAACAATAACTGTGTCTGGAATTTTTTTATGTATCCCAACATTAACTGGTTGCAGTAACACTATCTCTGTCTGTAATTATTTCATGTACCCCCCACATACTGGTTGCAGTAACACTATATGTGTCTGGAATTATTAAATGTATCCTCTACATCAACTGGTTGCAGTTACACTAACTGTGTCTGGAATTACTGCATGTATCCCTCACATTAGCTGGTTGCATTAAAACTAACTGTGTCTGGAATTTCTGCATGTATCCCGCACATTAACTGGTTGCAATTACACTCTCTGTGTCTGGAATTATTACATTTATCCCTTTGATATGAATATTAATACAAAAGCCAACGACGGGGAAATGGTCACTTCCTGATTGCATACTGCAAATGCAAGCTTAACATATATTCTCAATAGTGGAGTCGGTAGTTGCAAATTGAGTCATTGCACCTGAAGAGTTCGGTAAAATTTCGGAATGATCCCGTATCGAATGTCGCATTCATACACTAATTATGATCATTTATAATAATGATGATTAATAATAATAATTTTATTCTTGTTTACGACCTCTCGATAGGGTCCAATTGAGTATATAGTATTAAGATAAAGTTATACAGATGACAACAGGGTAACATCATATAGAAATATACGTACTAATAAAGATGTGATATTTAAATTAGGAACGATAACCATACACGATATGATTGTTGTGTGAGAAGAAGACCTAGTGATCTTGATAATAAAGACTACAACAAATTAAAACCCAAGCGCTGTACGTCTTAAGCGCTACTTTCGCGACTTTACGTGTAATGGCGAATAGCGACTTTCATACAACTTTACCCCCAAATACCAGTTTTGAGGCAATAATTCGCAAACCGGAAATCTTCAATTCGAATCCTTTTTGGAATCATCATTTCGAATATCATTAGTTATAAAAATCCCAATTTCGAAATCGAATTATTTTTCACAAAAATTACTCATTTTTGTCGAGTTGGATACAATTAATTCCGAACAAACTGTGACTCTAAGGTTCAGATTGTGCCGACTGATTAAACCAATTATCACCAATCAGTGTCAATCAGATTGAATTTTAACTCAGTTGTAAAATACGATATGTTCATTGGTGGATTAGTATTTCGACCACTTGTTTGTTAGTTTATGAATTCCTAAACCGGTTTATAAAAGGTTGAATTTTAAGTCAGTTGTAGAATACTTTACGATGATTGGTGTCGATTTTCGACCACTTGTATTTAAATTTTTGAATTCCTAAACCGGTTTACATAGAAATTGAGATGATGACCTGCTAAAAATCACTGTAAATCACGTAAATTCGACAATCTCCGGAATTTTCCGTACAGCTGAATCTGTTAGAGCGCTAGCAGAACTTTAACGATAGGCGGTGACCAATTCCGTATGGTTGCGAATAAGAACAACAGACATTGTTTCGAACGCATCTCTCGTGCAAGTTGCGTGTTGCGTTTGGTACTCTCATGACCACTTTCAATATTCGCAACCATACGCAACTGGTAATAACTATGGTGTGAGGGAACGTTAACGTTGATGCAATGCATTTCTCGTGACCGATGTACACCGAAGCGATAAGACCTTAACATCCTATTTACCGACCCTATATCACGGGTTGATAACACCTAGTCTGCTGATTATTTTAATAGTATGACAAGAAAAAATTCCTGGACTTCTAAGGACAGAATTGTCTCATGATCATGTGAACTTGAGTTATGAGCCCAATAACATATACATTTTTTTAAATTCATTGGTGGTATTTCAAGGGATCCATGCATAGAATATGCCCAACAGATTGTGCCATTTCACGAATAATGAACATGCTACAGCATCATTTTTAGAACTGAGTCGCGTTTTTCATGAATGAATAGATGATCGGACCACCAGTGGCGTATTTAGGGCTGTGCCATTGGGACAAATCCCCATCCCTCAAGGACTGTGAAAGGTCTTTTTTGAAGTGAAAACGAATCCCGCTACATGCTCATTTGAAATCCACTGGCTTCGGGGGCCTCTGAGGGTCTTCGGCCCTTGGGCCTCACCTAGGAGCCCCTCCCCCACAGACATACCCCCCTACCCCTGGCACCCCAAAATTGTCAAGAGGGTGATATTTCGCATAAGAGACTAGAAAAGAAATCCGACAACCATTTAGTCCTTGACCTTGCTAAAGACCAAAGGGAAATTTTGACACAATATCCCTTCAAATACAAAAAAAAACAAAACAAAAAACAAATCGTTTACATTCGTTGACTAATACTGTAAATGTATTATGTAATGTGGCTGTTATATAATAAACCGTGTCAAAGCTTGATATTCATAATTCTCCTACGTCTTTTGGAGAAATCATGTACCGAATGTAAGTAAGGACATACTATTAGCAACGACTCAGCCGAAATTGAACGAATACGTATCTTTATTTCAGATTAGCTTTTGTGGTGATTTCAGTTCATTCCATTTCATCCCATGGAATCTTTTATTTTTTAGATTACTATGCTCAGTTATCTTGCTAACTGCTGGTGCCATACCGCCACCACCAGAGCAACCTTCAGACCCTGTTCTTCAGAAGAGTCAACCCACAGAACCATTCACTAACTATGATGTTCTAGATTCTAACGGTGTCTTCGAGTTATTCTGGAAGTATAACAATACCCACATCACATTTGAAGCTCACGTCAAGACTCTCGGTTATGTTGGTTTTGGACTTTCACCTCATGGTCAGATGTTCCCAGCTGATGTGGTCATTGGTTGGGTGAAAGATGGAACTGTCCACTTTAAGGTAGGTGTATATTTTCCAGAAAACGAAATAAAATGAATGGAGTTTTACGTCCTACTTTTCTGCACCGTGTGGGCTAATACGTTTATATATTTTCTAGAGATTTGATGTTCCATCCCAAGATCATCTTCACTATGTCAATGTATTATGTACTCCCGTCTAATACCTTGACATCATTACGAACTTTTCTTGTATCTTACAGACTTCCTAATTTGTATACATTCGTGGAAGGATCGTTCATGATATTTTTTTCCAATTTTTCAGTATCTTAGTGTATGGTTTTTATCTTTTCTCAAAAATCTGATGTACAGAAAATTTCATAAATAGAAGATTTTCCACTTTTATTCCATTTTTGCAGGATCGTCATTCCACCGGTCATTATGAACCAATAATCGACAAGTCGCAAGATTGGATTTTACTATCTGGTAAAGAAGAGAACGGCAAGACTATTTTGAAATTTGTAAGAAAATTGAGAACTTGTGACAAGGATGATCGAAGCATCGAAGTATGTAATTTTTTTCAACCAGACCAGAGTTGCATCATTTTTACAAGGATAGCAACTTAAGTTCACTTAGGTTCATCCTTTCTACCAGCTGGTCCTTGGCCAAACCTCTTGGCATTGATGTTTTCCTTATCTGTGTCGACTGGAATATTAATACATTCAAGTTCATCAGACATCCCACAAAAGGACCAAAATAAGAACCTACGACCACCATTGGTTCGACGTAACCACGCAAATGAAGTCATTGAAATAACGCTCTAACTGAGAAATCCTCATAGTTACCTTCTTCCTGAGGAAAGATCTTTGTCATCATCATTGCCTCGTATTCTTGAAATAGATCATTTCTAATTTCTGTTTCCGGTTTTCAGGAAGGTACCACTAAAGTAATATTTTCGTGGCATCCTGAAGATCCTCAGCATGAAACAGGTCTACCTTTCCATGGTGATAGCAATAAAGGTGCTAAGAATTTGTTATTATTGAGTCCGGCTCAACACCGACACCTTCCAGCCGATGCTATCAAATTTGACTTTGTCAACAAACAGGTAAGGTCAAACATGTACGGTAAACCTTCAATCAACGACCAGCAACAATTGCCCCAATGATTTTCAGCCAATTCTGCGGTATAGAAACGCAAAGCAGAGCAATATGACAACTTCTTTGTGTTCCACAAACCCACAATTCCTCATTGTTATCAATAAAATGGTGCTACATGACAGGCTTTGATTTGTTTTAAAAAAATGTCATGATAACGCAACTGTGGTAAAAACCTTGTTAGATTACAATGAAGATGAAGTAAATACTTTTGGGTAAATCAGTTCAACTTAACACACCATTCCGATATATTTTTAGACGTTGATACCGAATAAAGACACCTACTACCACTGTACACCATACAGATTACCTAAACTAGACAAGAAACACCACATGGTTATGGTACGTCTTTACCCTAGATGTTTACAATGCGTTTTAATTATCCAGATGAAATCTACCAACTTATTGCCGTCTGTCCGTCCACAACCCCGTTCGTTGACATTTTTGGTTCGCAGGAAATAGGCTGTAGATTTAATACGATATTGATGAAACTTATGCACTCTGATATTGATGAAATTTCGATTCGCATTCCACAACACATGGATTAACGGTTTTTGAGCTGGGCTTCGGCGTTTGGAATCTCAACACAGTTGTCCCCTCAAGATTCAGGAGGTTGGCTTCACCACTATACATACCCCCCTATTTTATTTCAGTTTGAACCCACAATAGAAAAAGGCCACGAAGATTTTGTTCATCATATTATTGTATATAAGTGTCCGGCTCATGTGAACTATACCGATGCCATGCTGGCTAATGAATACGAATGCTATGCTAACGATTACAAACATCCTATGGAACTCAGAGATTGTACGTCTTCGGCCTTTTTAGCTTGGGCGGTTGGTGGTGGGGTAAGTTCTAACAAAATATATCTACAAATAAACCTTGCTGGATATAAAGATATTGTTTTAAGTGCTTTGTGAACTCTACAAAATACCATTTCTAAATTTTTAACACGTTATGAATTATAAGCTTACTTTGGAACATATATTTTTGAATTTTGTATATTTTTTTTCTGGCGGAGGAGGTCCGTGGACATGATTCATCCAGTTTCTATGGTAGATAAGCCACTGTGAATTATTTCCTTCAAAAATTTCTATTTTCAGCCAATGTATATGCCAGAAAAAGTTGGATTCCCATTAGGCGATGACGATGATAGTGGTGTATTTATTCTCGAAACTCATTACAACAATCCAACTTTAAAATCAGGTACGATAGACTGACAATTTCCTTTCTTTTTTTTCTCATATTTGAGGTTTTCATTGCAATCTAACAACTTTTCTACCACATTCCCGTTTTAATGACGTTGTTTTTCCATCAATCAAAACGTGTCTTGTAGGACCAGTTGCTTACATTTGAAGTATGGACTTATGAGTAATAAAACTCACTTAACAGGTGTGAGTGGTGAAGAATATTCTAAGATGAACATTGATGCTTTCAGGTGTGATAGATAGTTCTGGATTGAGGATGTACTATACCCCAACATTGAGGAAGATAGACGGTGACACGCTGTATACTGGATTAGCGGTATATGAGATGCAGGTCATCCCTCCTGGCTATCCAAAGTTTGCTTCTACTGGATACTGTAGCTCTGAATGCACCAGTAAGGTAAGCCATGACCAGCTTGTTGTTCAAGGAAGGTTAGAATAGGATTATAGCTGATTATGTGGTTGCTCAGTGAGCTGCTTGCTCGCTAACCTGAATATCTAGGGTTATATCCCAGCATAGGTCGAGATGATACCTGAGAAATCATTACAGAAGGGTGGGCTCATGCCACTGTCTTGTCGTACATCACAAAACTTTCTTTTCTAACTCCCGATCACAACGTGTTACAAAGTGGAAAAGGGTTTATGGACCATTTTGTGCCACTGAAAGGAAATTTGAATTTTGATTAAATAAAAAAGGAGAGACAAGCAAGCAAGCTCAGAAGAAACTCCAATATAGTACTAATGATTTTAATTGCAGCGACTAGGTCATTTACCAGAGGGAATTGATATTTTTTATTGCAGAGACTATGCCATTTACCAGAGGGAATTCATGTTTTTTATTGCAGAGACTTGTTCATTTACCAGAGTGGATTCATGCTTTTTATTGCAGAGACTAGGTCATGTACCAGAGAGGATTCATGATTTTTATTGCAGAGACTATGCCATTTACCAGAGTGGATTCATGTTTTTTATTGCAGAGACTAGGTCATTTACCAGAGGGAATTGATATTTTTTATTGCAGAGACTATGTAATTACCAGAGTGGATTCATATTTTTTATTGCAGAAACTATGTAATTTACCAGAGGAAATTCATGTTTTTATTGCAGCGACTAGGTCATTTACCAGAGGGAATTCATGTTTTTGCAGTCTTTCCCCATTCACATCTGTTGGGTCACGCTGTGCGGAACAGGATCGTCCGTAATGGTGAAGAACTAATGATAAACGATGACGAGAATTATGATTTTGACTACCAGGAAGCACGATTAATGAATAAAGAATTCATTATTAAAGCCGTAAGTTTTGAAATTAAAAGGGATTGAAAGAGGTTTTCGGGCCTCTTTTAGTTGATAGATGACAAGTTAACGTCCACTTCCAGCAGAAGCTGGTATCACAGACTAGGTAGTTGTTGGTAGTCGTGTTAGATGTATGCGCATCTTTTCTACATAGTTCACCTAAAATGAAGGCATTACCACAAATACCCATGCGGTATTTCAATCAGAACCTGCTCCGTTTCATACAAAATACAAAAGGGTTAATCGGGATCAAGCAGAATTCACGAAGTCAGTAGCTCAACTACCAGGGACTGGTTTAACCAAGTCTACGGGCCCCACCCTAGACAAATATCAGAATTCGGGAGAGCATATGTTTAAAAAAAAAATCCCGGGGTAGAAGCCCAAACCCACATGTAAAGTACCCCATTCATCTAGTTGAGCCACTGTCAGCAAGAGGCGACCAGCGTTGAAAATGCGAGAGCTTTTTATATTCCAAGGGAGACAACAACGTTTTTTTATTCAAAATTCAGACCAACATAAATTTAGCGCAGATGAAATTTGACTTGATTTTCGATGTAACGAGAATAATTCCCTAATTATTTTGTTTCGTAAATTTTCTGTTGGTTGTTTCAACCATCCTAGAATCCGATGGTTATATTACAAACATCACTAGCCCGATTAGTTTAAAAATATAATACCTAAAACTCCATTCGTTCATTCGTTAGACTTTTTTTAAAAAAAGTCTGCATTGCCTTTCAGGGAGATACCATCAAAACACAATGTATTTATAAATCAGATGATAAAGACCATATTACAGTGGTAAGTTTTTTAGTTCCCTTTCTTTTTTTCTGGCATATTGAGTCTCTATTGTAATCTAACAAAATTTCTACAACAGTCCCGTACTGTTAACTTTCTATCCAATAAAAGCTTGTCATGTAGGCCCTTTGTACTCAATTACGAATTGTTGGATAGCATTCGAATTGTGTAAAAGCAAAACCAAAAGGGCTCTTTATTTGGTTTCTCTATCCGAAAGTCCGTCCTTGTTATCAAGAAACGAATCTTACAAGGCACGATTTGATTGGTTAAAAAAAACGTTATTTGAACGGATTTGTTGTAGTAAACTTGTTAGATTACTAACAGAAATGTATAAAAGTATATTGAAATATCATTTTCAACTGGTTTTATGGTACCTTGCCTGTCCTGTTTATTTGCTCATTTGAAGATTTCCCCCTTTTTTCAGGGAGGAATTTCCACCAGGCAAGAAATGTGTATCGGATTTTTGATGTACTATCCTAAAGTGGACTTTGGCATTTGTGCCAGTATCCCGCAATACAACCAATATTTAGATGACAAAACACAGCATAAACCAGCTAAACTCCGGGAACTATTGAATGCCAGGGACTGGAAGAATGAAACAGTTCGTGCCGAGTTCCAGAAGGTCACGGATGAGACTATGCATGTTATGTCTTGTGGAAGCCACCAGGGATATAAAATGGTAAGTTTCTGAAAATGTGAGATCTTCGGAGGGGTGTTTTCATCTTAATTTTCGTTTTTGATGCAACTAGACTAGATACAATGATGTCCTGTGTCCGATGTCATGTGTACAGTGTACAGTGTCATGTGTACAGTGTCTTGTGCCCTGTGTACGATGTCATGTCTACAGTGTACAGTGTACAGTGTACAGTGTCCTGTTTCCTGTGTCCTGTGTACAGTGTCCTGTGCCCTGTGTCCGATGTCATGTGTACAGTGTACAGTGTCATGTGTACAGTGTCTTGTGCCCTGTGTACGATGTCATGTGTACAGTGTACAGTATCATGTGTCCTGTGTACAGTGTCCTGTACCCTGTGTACGATGTCATGTGTACAGTGTACAGTGCACAGTGCCCTGTGTCCTGTGTACAGTGCCCTGTGTCCTGTGTACAGTGTACAGTGCCCTGTGTCTGTTCTACGGTGTCCTTTGTCCGTAGTACGATGCGGGATTATCGATACAGTAGAAAATATAAGGAGGAAATACTTTGCTATACATTCTTGTATAGTTTTGTGTTTGTGGACGGGCTGTCGCACAGTCGGGTAGAGCGTCAGATTCAGTGACGTATTTAGGGAGTGGACCAATGGACCATACCCCCACACCTCCCTTAGGCTTGTGAAAGGTCTTATTTTAAATGCTTAAAATTGATCTCAGGCCATCTGAAATCCGTCGGCTTCTACGGACCTCTGGCAGCCCCCAAACCTTTGAGTCCTTTGGGCCTCGGCTCACACAGACAACTCTCATTTTTGCACACACTCTGGTCGTATCTTAATATGTCGACTTTTGCTCCCGTACCTTTTCCAATTTTACGTCAAATGACTTTTTTCTTCAAATTGTAACATAGTCATTTCATTTTCAGTCTTCGTTCGTTAAGAAGAATCCTCCAACTATAACGAAGAAATATCAAAAGTTCGATGTTTGCGATAAGACAAGAATAACTATTGGTTAAACCTCTTTATCTGAAACAGATACAAAATGATAATTCGAATTTCGATTTTCTTATCTAAAAAAAATAAACTAGCATTGGTCTTGTACCAGTGCTTTTGAAGCATCAAAAGTTTTTGTCTTTATGCTTAGGCTATCAGTTTATTCCCCTTCTTTCTTTAGGGTCTTGGGAAGCGGCAGTGTCTCGGTGGTTTGGAGGCTTGCTCACTAACTTAAAGGTCCAGGGTTCAATCCCGGCATGGGCTATGTTGCAAGTCGGAGGAGCTTACATGGAAATGTTAGGCTAAGTCCTACTCTTCTGCATAGTCTAATGAAGACTGACAACGCCAAGGTGTGTGCACATAGGTTCCCTTTTTGGGAAAAATCTGCGTATTATGCACGCAAATATACGGTAATAAATTCCTTACCTTCAGGACAATCAAACAGGCGTTCAACAACAGACGTCGGCGAGGACATTTGTCTGACATGTTGTGGGGGAAATTTTACTAGGACTGGGCCTCGGTTTATTGTCCCATCTGAACGACTAGACGCTTTTTCCATGCCCTGTATCTCTGACAAAGGGAAACCAGTTTAAATCACTTTAGAAGTGTGTGAAAAAGTGATTGTCTGTTTGTAATATAACCCTCGGATTCTAGAATGGTTGAAGCAACCCACAGAAAATCAACGAAACAAAATATTTAGGACATCATTCTCGTTATATCGAAAATCAAGTCAAATTTCTTCTGTGCTAAATTTATGTTGGTCTGAATTTTGAATTAAAAAACGTAGTTGTCTCCCTTGGTCTATAAAGAGCTCTCGCATTTTCAACACTGGTCGCCTTTTGCTGACAGTGGTTCAACAAGATGAATAGGGGTCCGTGGACTCATGTAGGTTGGAGCCTCTCCCCTGCGATTTTTTTTAAACATATTATCCTCTCCCTAATTCTGATATTTGTCTGGGGTGGGGGTCCGTGGACTTGGTTAAACCAGTCCCTGGTGGTTGAGCCACTGACTTCGTGACTTCCGCTTGATCTCGATTAACCCTTTTGTATTTTGTATGAAATTGACCATGTTCTGATTGAAATACCGCATTGTTTTAACAGACTTAAGTTTAATTATTGTCGATATACAACCTGCAACTATGTTCGTACACAATTAAAATGATAGGTCTATACAGGCAGGGGCGCGGGCTACATAGAAAATGTCTACGGGGATAGGGACAAAAATGAGAGGGATCTCCTGCCAGAGACACCTAGAAGTCAACTGATAGCAGATGACTGGGGATGAATTTGAAGCATTTAAGGGCTTAATTTCCAGGAAAAAATGGATTGCCGCCCTATAAAATTCTGACAAACGACCAATTCCATTAGGTTTACTGAATCTATAAACACCAAACACCATTCATATGCCCCTCTGGATAAATTAAATTAGGCCTACTTGAAATAAATGAAATCTGGCTAAAGGGATATGGATATATCAACTGGTAAGCAAATATCTTGACGACTAAGTCATTTTAGAATGTCTCTGAGAAACAACTATTGAAGCTCAGAATCGAACGCGACCCAGCACGTGAAAACCATAGGTCAAGGTTATGAAAAAAGTAAACAAAGCGTGGTGGACGTACCGTGGAAATCTACTAGAAGTTTAATTGGAGAACTTTAAACACATTATTCTATTCTATAAGACAATAGCTTGATAAAAGAGTGGAATTATTCAGTAATTTGGACATGGAAATGGAAATTGAGCAACATGTCAGACAAATGTCCTCGCCGACGTCTGTTGTTGAACGCCTGTTTGATTGTCCTGAAGGTAAAGAATTTATTACCGTATATTTGCGTGCATAATACGCAGATTTTTCCCAAAAAGGGAACCTATGTGCAAAATTAATTGAGTATACATTTTAATGCTTTCCTTTTTCCAAATTTGATCTTTCTATGGACCTGAAATTATTTTAAGACTATAAGCATACACTTCAAAAATTTGATTTGAAAAATTTTGAAATGAGAGAAGAAATTCAATTCTGGGACTCTAAGAAACAAAACTTTTAGTTGATTACGGCAAATAGTGGGCCTTAAAGGGATTGTAAAAAGGTTTCAACAATTTTTATGTGTACCAGGGATACTGATAGCATCAAATGCATCATCATCCAATTTTCAATCAGATGTCTAAGGTTTCTGCAATTTGAACAAAACTAAGTGTTTGATGACATCACTAATTGCTAAAAATGCTTTATAACATGAGGCCCGTTGTGAATGATGTCATAAAATGCTTAGTTTTAGTGGAATTGCAGGAACCACAGACATCTTAATTGAAAATTGGAATGGTGCAAATTGATGCTTTCAGTGTTGTTGATACACATAATAAAATTTAGAAAACGTCTTTACAATCCCTTTAAGAATTTGTGGAAGGAGAAAAAAATTTAATTCTGGGACAGATAGTTGATTGCAACAGCCCTAAGGAAAAAGCGAAACATTTTTTTGATTAAGGCACATAGTGGGCCTAAGCACACAAATATTATTGAGTGTGACAAAGAGTGTATAGTTTAACTGTGTAATTTATTGAAAAAGTGTGTTTTGTGTATCAGTGAACTCTTAAAAATTTAAAGGGGCAGTATGCAAATTTTTTATTATCAAAAGTGTCTGTCTAGTATACTAACTAGTTTTGGTGTTGGGTCTTATAAAGACTTATTGAAACCTTGGAGACATATTTCTTTACAATTAGGTGTAGAATTTGAATAGATCTGCATAGTATTTTTCTAAAACCAATCAAAAAGCATTACGTTTTGCGTTAACATTTTAAATAGTTTTGGCGTTAAAAAATTAACAACAGGAATTTTTTCAGGCATATCCATTTCTTTAGATTTTGGTATGTAGGTTTCATAAATTTGAACAAAAAATAGGCCTATTTTCGACCTTGAAAAAAACAGAATGCTCCTTTAGCATTTTTGAGTAATTTATTAAAAATAGTGTGTTTTGTGTATCAGTGAACTAAGAAAGTAAAGATGAATTTCTATGTTAAAGGGACAGTTGTGTCATTTTGGGGGGTTGATTTTAGTACCGTATTGAATAGATGTAAATAGTCTTCAGAGGAACTAGAAATGTATGAAAATCACATATTTCCTTTAAAAATTGTTAATTTTACTCATTATTTCTATATTATATGTCTTTTCTATATATCACAGAGTATCTTAAATTGACGCATAATATATTATACTGGGTTCAATGTTCCTTTTTCTGCAGATGAAAACGAAAACCTTGTATACTGTACTATTATACAAGCTATTGGTTCAATAGGCCTGAGTGATCAAATTGTTATACAAGGTTTAAATTTTCAAAGAATGAAAACCATGGTTCAATAGGCCAGAGAACTCAAAATGTTATATGAGGTTTAAATTGTCAAAGAATGAAAACCACGTATAGCAGTAAAAAAATAAATAAAAAAGATTTTCACAAAATATGCATACAAATTATTAGAAAAGTAATTTTGCGTCATATATCGTTATACGAGGTTTCAAGCGGACACCCACGATATAACAACGAAAAACCTTGTATACTATATACGAGTTATTGGTTCAATAGGCCAGAGAACTCAAAATGTTATATGAGGTTTAAATTGTCAAAGAATGAAAACCACGTATAGCAGAAAAAATATAAGTAAAAAAGATTTTAAAATTATTAGAAAAGTAATTTTGTGTCATATATCGTTATACAAGGTTTCAAGCGATCACCCACAATATTCACGTTAAAAAAAGTTGATCAATACTTCTAAAGCTCATATTTATATGTGAGAGAAACCAGACGTCATCAAATTTGTCAGTTAGAGCAATAACCCTTTTTCTAATTTGATGAAACGAATAATTTAGTGTATAAACAGCATTTAAAGGGATTGTAAAGAGATTTTAAAAACTTTTTACACTTATGTGTATTGGGGACACTGATAACATTTGTCGTATTCAAATTTTCAATCAGACGTCTGTGGTTCTTGCAATTTCAATAAAACTAAGTGTTTGAATGGTGCAAATTGATGCTATCAGTGTCCCCGATACACATAAAAAGTT